TGTGGCTTCGTGAACTGCAACATGGTACTGAAAGCTGATGAAATCACATTAGCAAGGGGACAAAGTCAGAGACCACGGCAGCCTGGTCTGGTCCCTGCTGTGCTTCTCACTACACTTAGATGATCCAGGGAAAACCTTCAGTTGCTCTTGGCCTCAGACTTTTTTATGTAACAGAAGAATTTGAATAATGTCAAAGGCACCTCCCAGGTCTAAAATTCAAAAATATTAACAATAATGCTCACAGTTAAGACAACCATTCTATATACTTTCCTAATGATTACCATATTTGCAGGCACCTGAGATGGAGGAATTACATTTCTTTCAAATTATAGTATGTAGTTTCCGTATTTCAACCTGAATATATTTAAAATACTTACATGGTACAATTGGAATTCACCATGATAATTTCTACAAAGATTAACAGGAAACGCCTCCATGAAATTTTCTCCAGCAATCTGAATTTTGAACATCCCTGTTGCAGTATAGAAGTAATTGACAAAACAAACAAACAAACACAGAAGATCCCACAGTAAATGCCAACCTAAAAAAATTCAGTTATTAATAGGTGGCCATTTCCAATTTTCATCTCTATATCCTTTTGTCTCTATATAATATACTATATAAGATAAGCAGCCATGATTGATTTTTTAAAGTAGCCGATTATTGAAACAATATTGAGCCAACAGTAGAGAAAGAGTTCAGAACACAGCCTTGCTGGGCTGGGAGGTTTTTGACAGTGTACCTTCAAGGCCTATCTTAGGAGAAAATTTCTTTACTGTTAAATGGTATTTCCAAGGACAGCACTTTCATTTAGTTATCAAAAAGGAATAATGATGATGATGCCACAATAATTAGCATGCCCTCAAAGCCCTTGAAAAACAAACAGAAAAACAAGCAGACATTTCAGTCATTTCTACATGCACTTTTGCTCCTGAAAGAAAAATGAAAGCTTAATTTGTTTCTCTCCATTTAGTCTGAGTCACATATATTTTTCCTTTCTCTTCTTTTACCATACTAAATTATCTCTTAAAAAGAAAAGCCAGAACACTAATTTTTCTAATTGCTTTCCGAGGGGGTCACACAGATGAGAGTTTACTCTTGCTACATTCCTTGGTGACTCTGGAATTCCTTTATCTGGACATCTAATCAATAAAAGCCTCTGGTAACAAGAACGTTCTCTGTAGGGAACCTCACAGAGTATTCATAAATAATAAAAGGTCTTCAGGCATGTAAAACTTCCCCCTACTAAATCCATCTTTAAGAAGGAAAAAAATCTCCCCCAAAACCTGAGTGATAAAACACAAAAACCAGCGACATAAAATAATGACTGAATTTAACCCAGAGATGTAAGGATCAATATATACAAATCATAGTGTGAAACACATGTCAACAGAACGAAGGACAAAAACCATATAATCATTTAAATCGATGCTGACAAACAACATTTGATAAAGTTCAACATCCGTTCATAATAAAAACCCTCAAGAACTGGATATAGAATAAACACACTTCAAACAAAATAAAAGCCATATACAACAAATCCACAGCTAGCATCATACTGAATGGGGAAAAACTGAAAGCCTTTCCTTTAAGATCTGGAACATGACAAGGCTGCTTATCTTTCACCACTGTTATTCAACATGGTACTGGAAGATCCAGCTGGAGCAGTCACAGAAGAGAAATGAATAAAGGGCATCCAAGTTGGAAAGGATAAAGCCAAAGTATCCTTGTTTGCAAATAACATGATCTTATACTGGGAATAACCTAGACTTTGCCAGAAAACTAATAGAACTTATCAATAAATTCAGTAAAGTTGCAGGATACAAAATCAACATACGAAAATCAGAAGCATTTCTATATGCCAACAGCAAACAATCTGAAAAAGAAATCAAGAAAGTAATCCTATTTTCAGTAGCCACCAATAAAGTACCTCAAAATTAACTTAACCAAAGAAGTGAAATATATCTACAATGAAAAATATAAACCACTAATGAAAGAAATTGAAGATGACACAAAAAATGGAAAGATATTCCATGTTTGTGAATGGAAAAATCAATATTGTTAACACATACTACCTAAAGCAATCTACAGATTCAGTGCAATCCCTATCAAAATACCAGTAACATTCTTCACTGAAATAGAAAAAAACAATGCTGAAATGTATATGAAACCACAAAAGACCCAGAATAACCAAAGTTATCCTAAGGAAGAAGAACAAAACTGGAGGAATCACATTACCAGACTTTAAACGTACTATAGAGTTACAGAAACCATCAGGCACCAGTTGAAACGGCCACCCAGACTTTTTTGAGTTTCTGTGTGCCAACCCAGCACCAACTGACACCACCGTGCTGTGCTGAAAACTTGTGGTGCTTTTTGCCCAGGAATCTCCTGGTCTGTGGGCAATGAAAGTTTCTTCAGAAATGTGGTGGGCACTCACCCTCTGCATTGTTCTTGCTGGGACCTGCATTCTGGAGCTGTTCCTATTCAGTCATCTTGGATCCTCAGCAGTAGGTCTTAACAGTGGGCTTAAAATTGTCAGTAAGCCATGCTGTAAACAGATGTGCTGTCATCCAACCTTTGTTGTTCCATCCATTTATTGAACACAGGCTGAAGAGATTTAGCATAATTCTCAGGGGCCCTAGGACTTTCAGAATGGTAAATGAACGTTGGCTTCAACTTAAAGTCACAAGTTGCATTAGTCAGTCAGTCCTATGAAGTTTTGAATTCTCCTTCCTGGCTATTAAAACTCCTAGATGGCATCTTCCTCCAATAGGTTGTTTCATCTACATTGAAACTGTTGTTAGTGTAGCCACTTTCAACAGTGATGTTAGCTGGATCTTCTGGATAACTTGGCTGCAGCTTCTCCATCAGCACTTGTGGCCTCTTTTTGCATTCTTATATTATGGAAATGGCTTCTTTCCTGAAACATCCTCAACTAACCTCTGCTACCTTCCAACTTTTCTTCTGCAACTTCCTTACCTCCCTCAGTCTTCACAGAACTGAAGAGAGCTAGGGCCTTGCTCTGGATTAGGCTTTGGCTTAAGGGACTGTTGTAGCTGGTTTGATTGCCTATCCAGACCACTGCAACTTTCTCCATATCAGCAGTAAGGCTGTTTCATTTTCCCTTTTTTGTTCTTTTTTTAAGATAGAGTCTAACTCTTTAACCTAGGCTGGAATGCAGTGGCACGATTTCAGCTCATTGCTACCTCCAACTCTGGGGTTCAAGCTATTCTCCTGCCTCAGCCTCCTGAGTAGCTGGGACTACAGACATGCACCACCAAGCTTGGTTAATTCTGTATTTTTAGTAGAGATGGGATTTCAACATGTTGGCCAGGCTGGTCCTCAGCCTCCCAAAATGCTGGGATTACAGGTGTGAGTCACTGAGCCTGGCCTGTTTCATTTTATCATTTGCAAGTTCACTGGAGTAGCACATTTAACTTTCTTCAAAAACTTTCACAACTTGGCTAACTGTTTGGCACAAGAGAACTAGGTTACAGCCCATCATGGCTCTTGACATGGCTCCCTCACTAAGCTTAATCATTTCTAGCTTTTGATTTAAAGTGAGAGACATGCAACTCTTCCTTTTACTCAAACACTTAGACACATTGTAGGGTAATTAATTGGCCTAATACCAATATTGTTGTATTTGAAACAATGGAGAGGCCCAAAGAGAGGGAGAGAGATGGGGAAACAGTAAGTGGAGCAGTCAGAACACACTGAACACTTATCAATTAAGTTAAACATCCTATGTAAGCGGGCTTGACAGAATCCCAAAACCATTACAGTAGTAACATCAAAGGTCAGTGATCACAGATCACCATAACAGATACAGTATTAAACAAAAACAAAAACTTAAAATGCTGCCAACAGAATTATTCAGTGCAAACCTGGGCAACACAATGAGACACCCATCTCTACTAAAAAAAAATAGTGTGATTGCAGATGCTACCAGCTACTTAGGAGGCTGAGGTGGGAGGATTGCTTGTGCCTGGAAGGTCAACTGAGTGTGTTCTGACTGCTCCATCTACTGAATCTTCCCCCCTCTCCATGTCCCTCCCTCTCTTTGGGCCTCTCTATTCTTTAAGATACAACAATATTGAAATTAGGCCAATTAATTACCCTCCAATGGCTTCTAAGTGTTTGAGTAAAAGGAAGAATTGCATGTCTCTCACTTTAAATCAAATAGCTGCAGTGTGGGAGGTCAAGGCTGCAGTGAGCTGTGATGGCATACATGTTCCACATGCTGCTCTAAAACACCTGGGCTCAAGCAATCTTCCTGCCTTGGCCTCCCAAGGCACTCGAATTACAAATGTGAGCCACTGCACCTAGCCGGTTTTTTTAAGTAAACCAGCTTTGGCTGGGTGTGGTGGCTCACTCTTGTAATCCCAGCACTTTGGGAGGCCAAGGTGGGTGGATGATGAGGTCAGAAGATTCAGACCATCTTGGCCACCAAGGTGAAACCCCGTCTCTAATCAAAATACAAAAATACTTCCTGGGTGCGGTGGTGTGCACCTGTAATCCCAGCTACTTGGGAGGCTGAGCCAGGAGAATCACTTGAATCCAGGAGGTGAAGGTTGCAGTGAGCTGAAATCATGCCACTGCACTCCAGCCTGGCCAAAGACTTATCACAAAAAAAAAAAAAAAAAAAAGGCCGGGACAGGGGCTCAAGCCTGTAATCCCAGCAGTCTGGGAGGTTGAAGTAGGCACATCACTTGAGGTCAGGAGTTAGAGACCAACCTGGTCAACATGGAGAAACCCCATCCCTACTAAAAGTACAAAAATTAGCCGGTTGTGGTAGTGGTCTCAGACCAGCTACTTGGGCTGCTGAGGCAGGAGAACTGCACCTGCACTTAAGGGGCTGGGCCCTTGGCTGGTCCAGCAGCTCACTGGTAAGGTCTGGCAGAGGGGTGGGGTGAGGAGGAAAAATGCCATGCCCAAGGGGGATAGGGTATACAGAGGCTGGGAAGAGCAGGTGGTGGTGGCGGCTTGGAACTTACCTGTAGGCATCTGAGAGCTGCAGGAAGCTGAATTCCTTGGTGCCATAGAGGATGAGGTCCCTGGCCCTCCTGCTGAGATGGGTCATGCAGAATGAAGCCCAGAACAGGAACTCAGCTAGGAGAAAGAAAAGATTCCCAGTCACCAAGCCTCTCCGGTACTCACACAGCCTGACCATACAGGGAGACAGAGGAGGTTAGGTGGTTGTGAGGAGCTGGCTAAATTTTCCTTTTTTTTCCAGAGTCTGTTCTGTTGCCAGGCTGGAGTACAGTGGTGAGATCTCGGCTCACTGCAGTCCCCACCTCTCAGGTTCTAGTGATTCTCCTGCTTCAGCCTCCTGAGCAGCTCATTTTTCTATTTTTATTAGAGATGGGATTTCACCATGTTGGCCAGGGTGGTCTCGCTCTCTTGACCTCGTGATCCACCTGCCTTGGCCTCCCACAGTTCTCGATTAGAAGTGTGAGCCACTGTGCCTGACCTAAATTTTCATTTTGAGTAAAGATGGGGTCTTGCCATGTTGCCCATGCTGCTCTAAAACACCTGGGCTCAAGCGATCTTCCTGCCTTGGCCTCCAAAAGTGGTGGAATTACAAATGTGCACCTAGCCTGTTTTTTGTTATTGTTGTTGTTTTAAATAAACCAGCTTTGGCTGGGTGTGGTGGCTCACTCCTGTAATCCCAGCACTTTGGGAGGCCACGGTGGGCGGATCATGAGGTCAGGAGATCCAGACCATCTTGGCCACCAAGGTGAAACCCCGTCTCTAATCAAAATACAAAAATACTACCCAGGTGTGGTGGAGTGCACCTGTAATTCCAGCTCCTTGGGAGGCTGAACCAGGCTGGAACCCAGGAGGTGAAGGTTGCAGTGAGCCGAGATCATGCCACTGCACTCCAGCCTGGCGAGACACTTATCACACAGACACACACACACACTCACACACACACAAAAAGGCCGGGGCAGGGGCTCAAGCCTGTAATCCCAGCAGTTTGGGAGCTTGAAGTGGGCAGATCACTTGAGGGCAATAGTTTGAGACCAACCTGGTCAACATGGTGAAACCCCATCTCTACTAAAAATACAAAAAATTAGCTGGGCATAGTGACACGTGCCTGTAATCCCAGCTACTCGGGAGGCTGACACAGGAGAATTGCCTCAACCCAGGAGGTGGAGGTTGCGGTGAGCCTAGATCGCGCCATTGTACTCCAGCCTGGGTAACAAGAGCGAAACTCCGACCGACTCAAAAAAAAAAAGGTTTTTTTTAAATTAGCAAGGTGTGGAGGCCCTACTAACTTGCGGCAGAAGGCTCCCTTGAGATCAGAAGTTAGGACTGCGCCACTGCGCTCCAGCCTGGGCAACAGGGCCAAGCCCGGTCTCAAAAAATGTTTTAAAAATTAATAATAAACATTAAAAAAAAAAAAAAGGACACTGCCCGGGCTCAGCCTTCACTTCGGGAGGGAGCTCGGCAGGGGCGCTTCCTCCTCCTCCTGCCTCCTCTTCCGCGGTCCTCCTGGGTCCCCTCCCGGCCCCACTCCCCCAACCCCACGCTCCCAAGCCCATTAATCTTTTTTTTTTTTTTTTTTTTTTTTTTTTTGAGAGGGAGTTTCGCTCTTGTTACCCTGGCTGGAGTGCAATGGCGCGATCTCGGCTCACCGCAACCTCCGTCTCCTGGGTTCAGGCAATTCTCCTGCCTCAGCCTCCCGAGTAGCTGGGACCACAGGCACGCGCCACCATGCCCAGCTAATTTTTTGTATTTTTAGTAGAGACGGGGTTTCACCATGTTGACCAGCCAAGCCCATTCATCTCTAACCTCCCCTGGGCCCCCAACCCCCGGGCGCGCCCAGGGAAAGGAGCCTGCGAGGCGGCCTGGACTCTCCCAGTCCCTACGATGGGCTTCCGCGTGCCTCCCGGCCCTGCCCTGAGTACCGCAGCAGCAGCCGCTACCACTGCTCCTGGAAGCCCTGGCGCCGGTCGTCCGAGAAGTCAGCGTGGAAGCTCCAGAGTCTGTCCAGCTCCTTGCGCTCCCGCGACGGGCTCTCCCAGGGGCACAGCATCCCTCCCTGCAGCGCCAGCGCGCGGCCACACAGCCACGCAGTCCGCCGCTGGCCCGAAAGCCAGACCGCCCGCTCTGCCGCTCGGCTTCCGGCTGCGGTGATAAAAGAAGCGCCGGAAGAGGCCGGAGGGCGTGTCGCTTGACGTACTGAGGCCATCGGCGCCATGTTTGTTGAGGGCGACTGCCAGGTCTGGAGGGGAGGGGGGACCGGGGGCTGCTGGGTGGGGCTATAGGCTAGGAACCGCGGGCTAGGCCTTTGGTGAAGTTGGACCCTCCCATGCAGCCCCAGTCAAGAAGGGCGAGGTCCTCTCCGCACTCCCGCCCAGGCTGGACGATCCAGGGAGGCAGGCCAGGACAGAACCCCTGAGATCTGGGATTCCCCAGTTTTATCAAGAAGCACCTCCACTCGCCTTCCCCAGCGCGACTCCTCCGAGCAGGCCCCAGCGGAACCTCTTCGGTGCCTGCCGGGTGCAGCTGTGGCTCTCACCCGTAATCCCAGAACTTTGGAGGCAGAGGTTGGTGGATCACTTGAGGCCAGTCTGGCCACCATGCTGAAAACCGATCTCCAGTTAAAAAAAAAAAAATAGGCCGGGTGCGGTGGCTCAATCCTGTAATCCCAGCACTTTCGGAGGCCGAGGCGGGTGGATCACGAGGTCAAGAGATCGAGACCATCCTGGTCAACATGGTGAAACCTCATCTCTACTAAAAATACAAAAGTTAGCTGAGCATGGTGGTGCAGCCTGTAGTCCCAGCTACTCAGGAGGCTGAGGTAGCAGAATTGCTTTAAAGGAGGCGGAGGTTGCAGTGAACCGAAGTCGCACCATTGCACTCCAGCTTGGGTAACAAGAGCGAGACTCCATCTCAAAAAAAAAATAACAAAACAAAACAAAAAAAAGAGAAACGACTTACAGGTTTTCTTATATTTCAAGAGTTCTCAAGTATACACAATGATTGCTGAGTAAGCATAAGTAATTTCTACGTAAAATGAGAATTTCAGAGTGAAGTTCTGAAACTCCTTGAGAACATTCTATAAGAAAACATTACATAAGGCTGAAATCAGGGTGTTGACCAGCTAAGAAACTTGTTCTAAGTACATTTATGCTATTAGCAGGCAGAATCTACTGATTTATTGTATCAGTATATTTATCTGATAAATATATAAATATCAAGATATTTATTGTATCTTAACTGTATAAAAATTCCTTGAGCATTTGCCTTTCTCTACATAATTTTTACCAGATTTTAGTATTTAAAACATTTTTTCTCGAATAGGCCAATAGCTACTTAAGCAATCTCTCTGACTCTACTCCTCTGTTGTCTTTCAGTGTGTTGTCCACACTGCAGTCAAAGTAATTTTTTTTTAGGTGAAGTTTCACTTTTGTAGCCCAGGCTGGAGTGTGATGGCACCATCTGAGCACACTGCAATTCTGCCTTCTGGATTCAAGTGATTTTCCTGCCTCAGCCTCCAGAGTACCTGGGATTACAGGTCCCCATTACCATGCCTGGCTAATTTTTATATTTTCAGTAGAGATGGGGTTTTACCATGTTGGCCAGGCTGGTCTTAATCTCCTGACCTCAGGTGATCCATCCACCTCAGCCTCCCAAAGTGCTGGGATTACAGGCATGAGCCACCATGCGCAGCCCAAAGTGATCTTATTGATACAGGAGGTAGAAAGAAATTAGATAGATAATGAGAGCTTAAAGAGTCCTCAACAGTGCTTCCCTTCTAACAAAAAGCAGCCCAGAAAATTATTTTTTTTTCCTAACAAGAGCAACCAGCTGCAGACAGAGATAAGCAAGCTGGAAGCCTGCATGGGCAAATGCTGACAGCTATGCCAAGAGAAAAGGGCTACTTGGGGGCCACACATATTCAACATGAAGGCTCCATCTTCCCTCTCTGTTACCATGTTTACAGGAAAAAAGAAATGGGCAACATGGCACAGCTCAGGCAGAGAAACTGCCTGCATGATAAACGATTAGGATGGGGTTACCAGAGATTCACCCCCATGCAAATGACACACTTGGTCTAACCAGTTTTTCATGTCCTATGTAAATCAGACACTGCCTCCTCACCAGCTGATCTTTAAAACACTCTATTTTGCCATGAACAGGAAACCCATTTTTCCAGGACACCTCTCTGCCACAGAGAGCTATTTGCTTTCTTTTCCCTATTAAACTTTCACTCTAATCTCACTCTTTGCATGTCTGTATCCTATTTTTTCCATGGCCATAAGACAAGAAACCTTAGGTAGTACTCCAGATGAGGCTGTTTCATTGCCATTGTGGGGGCTCATCTAGGATCAAGGGTAGATTCATCAGAAAGGTAATTATATGAGTGGACCCCAATTCTCTACTTTTATTTTGAGTCCATCTGCCCTCAATTTTAAATTGTAAAATGAAACTTAAAAAACTGGGCATCCGATGGCCAGTTAAGAGACCATTATGATTGCTGCCACTTCAAAGACTCAGATGACAGGCTTGCTAGGGAGTACTAAACAAATCTCCCAGTGTTTTTAGGGTGCTAGGAATATTGGCTCTGTTTTGAACTGGTTTCCTTTCACAAAGAGCCTAGCCATCATCTGGGGCTGAAGATATCCAGAGACAATTGACAGTTACTCAAAGGCTTCTGGACTCTTATTTTTCCATCCTCTTACTGCCCATTGGGCATAAGCAATAGCATCTCCAAGTTTTTTTCATCAAATTTTTTCTTTCCAAGACCACTGTGCCTCTTGTCCCCTGTCTTTATGCAGTGCTGCAGGAATTTTTACAGTTAAGGGAAATAATCCTATTAGGCAAGATCAGCAAATGCCATAGTAACTGGGAATACAGCTAAAGGGATGGCCATTTTTTTATTTTTCTAGAAGCAGAGGGTCTCTACTCCCACCCAGTGAACATCTTTTTCTCTACCCTTTGTCTGGAAAGCACATGGTATTTCAAGACATACAGCACCGCCTAGTGGAATAGGAATCCTCTCCAAGATGTACCTTGTCAAACCTTTGCTAAAACACTGTATTTTTCCCAATTCTACTCTCTTTTTACACCCGTCAACTGTAAACCAAGCTTTATGCCCCATATGTGAGTGAGAAAACACAACAATTAGGAGGAAGATATCTCCCCAAACAAAAATTTTGTGTCAATAATTTCCCATTAGCAGAAAAACTGCCATTTTTTAAAAATACCCATGTGCCTTTAAAAAAAAAAATGGGTATTTTACATACTATGGATGTTAACCAGAACCACTGCCTAAGAATACTTTAATCTGGGGTATAATAACAGAATATACAGCTCTACCTAGTATTCTCCCTGTGGTAAGGGGCCTTGCATTCATACAACTGTTACATAGTCTGTCCTGAGAGCCATCCATTGGGAAAACATGCAGAGTACAGAAGTCTAGAAAATCAAAGGAAAATCACCAATGGAGGACTAAAGTTGCATTGGTAAGTATGACTAATATTATTGCTTAGCTCCTCTGGATCCATGGGTGAGGGTAATGCCTGCATCCACCTTTAATGGATGCTTGGACTCAGGGAACCAAGGAAGGAAACAGTTGAAGGAATGTCCCCATTGTCACCCCCTTTACCCTGAGTCATTCTAAAAGAAAGGAAGAAAACTAAAGGGATTCCTTTTTATCACTTCTCTTTCTACATGGATAACAGACCATCTTCAGCCTGCACTCCTCTGGAGTGCATTTTGAAGCAATGGGACTCCTATGACCCCAAGACTTTGAAGAAAAAGTGGCTCATTTTCTTTTGCAAGATGGTATGGCCTTCTTATCATCTTGAACTAAACTAACCGTTTTTCAGGAAAGCCTCAATTTTAATACTATCCAAAAATTAGATTATTTGTGTAGATGAGAGAGCAAATGGTTCAAGGTTTTCTATGTACAGGTTTTCTTTGCATAATAAAAGATTAAGATGAGGCTACCATACTAATGAGACAACCCAGACCTTTGGAAGCATTGCACAATCGACCCAGCTCTTTTGGCAATCATATCATTTAGGCTGAAAAGGAGCAAATCTCCAAAACTAAAAAGACAACTTCTCAGAGAAGCATCTGAGGGAGTTATAGAGTTCCTAACCCTTCCTGTTTCCCTATACAGGGCCCCCCTCCAACCACATTGTAGGCTTCTCCACTTCTACCATCTCCCAAAATTCCCACTCCTCCTTGCTCTGGCTCATATGGGAAATATCAGTGCAGGTGATGCCACTAGGTTTCAAGTTCCCTTCTCAATTCAGTATCTTAGGCAAATAAAGAGAGACCCTGAGAGGTATATTCCAAAATTTAACTCAGTCAGTTGTTTGACCTCTCATGGAGGGATGCTATGTTGCTCCTAAGCCAAGTTCTAACTGCTGCAGAAAAACAGGCAGTTCTGAAGGCAACAGAGGAATTCAAAGATGAGTTATATGTCTCCTCTAATAGGTCAAAAAGCAAAAGACAGAATAGCTAAGGTGAAAAATAGGGGAATCACTATTCCCAACAGAAAGAGAGGAAATACCTACTGACAACCCTGATTAGAACCCCAACTACACATATAAATGGAAAAGAACACTTTTTAATGCACATGTTGGAGAGCCTATGATGAATTAGAGCCAAACCTCTTAATTACTCTAAAATGTCCATGATAGACAAAAACCTAGATGAGAATCCTACAACCTTTATGGCAACACTGAAAGAGGCACTAATAAAACACACCTCCTTTCTCCTGAAAAAGTCAAGGAACAAGCAATTGAAAAGGACATGTTCATAGCACATTGAGCTCCCTATGTTAGATGGAAACTGCAGAAGCAGGCTACAGAACCAGATAGCATCCAGAAAGCCTCTTGAGGGTGGCCACCTCCACATTTTAAAACAGGAACCGAGAGGAGGCCCAGGATATAAAGAAGAAACACAAAGAAAGACAGAGGCTGTAGTAGCTGCTTTGCAGGCTTGCAAAACTCAAAATTTCAGAGGTGCTCCTGCTGATTTCTACAAATGTGTTAAGTCAGGGCACTTTAAGAAGGATTACCCAGGCAGCAAGAAGTCAACTTGACTCCATTCAGCTCATGGTAGTGACCACTGGAAATCAAACTGCCCACAGAGATGGAGGTCACCAG